TTACGCCGCAACTAGCTCGGGCAGCACATAGAAACGTTGCAGCACATTCACACTGTTTGGATATTCAATGTCGGTGACGTTCTTGAGCTGCTCGTAGCCGTGCCAGAAGTCGGGCCCATCGACAAGCTTCTTGTAGAACGTATAGTAGAGGGCATCCTCGCGACGGAGCAGCGCCTCGCGCTCCAGTTGATTCAGTGTCTGGATGCTGGTGCGTGTCTCAAAGATGACGCGCACATGCTGCATGTACAGAAAGAAGAAACCCGAACCTGCCCAAAAACCACAATCAAAATCATAATCAACGGGGGGGGCGGTGGCGGTGGTGGCCCAGGCCGGCCGCATCTCTTACCAATTAGCGCCGTGGAGAGTATGATGTAAAAATTGGGCTCGCGCATTGTGCTGCGTTTGCTGCGGGCGTTTGCTTGTTATCTTCTACTGTGTGGCGGCTGCAGAATCTGTGTGTCAGTAATGTACCAAAATCATTATTTGTTTCACAATTTGTCTCTTTCGGCTCCTCCTTCTCTTTGCCTTACCAAACTGTGAGAGACACACACAAAATACAAATCAGCTGTTTCCGTAGAGGTTGCCACCTGCAGATAAACACTTGAGGTCCGATCCCACGCAATCGATTTTTCACAGGTCCAACCACCAAAAACGAGCTGTGGGGCAGGGCTTGGTATACCAAATACGCTGTAGCAAGAACATTTGCAGCCCAATAAGTCGGTTTAAAGCTTTTGAGTCTTCTTTTGAATTTGTTACGAACCTGTTTTGGTGTTGGGGCAAGGCCGGCTAGCCAGTCATCCCAGGGCTGAGTCTTTCCCAGGCCCCCAGATCGCACAACAAACCAACTGTTCGGACATCTCGAACAAATACCAAAAACAAACGATAATTCAAAAAAAAAATACAACGGACTTCTCTCTACATCTAACGGACAATCATCTCTTCGACACAGAACAACTACAAATCTCCCTTCCAAGTGCAGCGGCCTTTCTCCATCTCGCCGCTGTGGTCCCTTCTGCCGCATACTAAACACACTAGCACTTCATTTTAAACGTTATAATATGTAACTATAAACTCAATACCCGCCTTCTCAACTTATATTAGTGGGTGGAAAATATAGAGGTGGAAATAAATATAAATAATAAGTGTAAATATAAATCCAAAGACTACATTCAGTAAGTTACATAAATATGGTGAATAAATATATATGGGGACGGCTAATTAATTAAATATTAATTTTAATCTATATATATTATTTATGAATGTATTTATGTAGGCGTTTATGTATTAATTATTTAACTGTGGCGCTGAGGCGGGATCGCCTGTGACTAGGATTCCGCGGGCCGGGAAATTGTAATTTGGCCAAATCTGTTCTATAATTTTCCCTAAGAGTTTTCCAATATTAAATGTTGGAATTTGTTCACTCTTGAACGGACACACTTTTGCTTGAATGCTATTAAAAATCCTCTGAATTTACCCGCTGGTCTGTTTTCCTTTTTTCCGATTTGGTTCCGATTGTCTTCTCCACGGTCACACACACAAACGATCTAACGCTGACGATATTACTTAATGCAGCGGACCCTCTCTTCTTGAACCTTGAACCAAGCTCAAGGGCCTGGCATGGCATTTCTTTGAGGGTGTGGGTGAGCTGGCTCGTGGAATATATATTCGAGCCTGTCTTCAACTCTCCTCTCTCTCTCTATCAACGGCACCGGTTATCGCCTTGCCCCTTCACCAATCGACCAGCCAACCACCAAAAAAATACTTCTACATCTAGTATTTTGCCAATCGATTTCCTTCGACTGCAACATTCTTTTGAAATGTTCCTTTGTTGTGCATGGCTGGCGTTGCCAGATGCGCGCACTCCTCAGCGTAGGCGGCATCAACAGGCAGGGTGACCGTAAATACGGTACACGATTTTGCGTGTTATTTTAATCGCGAAATTGCGTTCAATGTATATTTATAGCAAACGGCATATAATGTTACATTAAATTAATTTCATCCGTCTACTTAATCCAATTTGTAAGCTATGTTAACGAATATAGGGTATCCAAAGTGCCCCACACTCATGTTTTTCCTAAGTTCCCTCTGGGTGTTTTTGTCTCTGCTCCGTATGCGATCTTGCAGACAATCCAATATAATGAAGTCATGAAATTTATCCAATCTTGTGTGGAATTAATTTTTGAGTCTACAAAAATTATAGTTTAAGAGATGGGAGTCCTAACTAGATAGTAATATTAAGAAGAACATCAAAATCAACATCAAAATGATTTACGATTCGGTATATTTACGATAAATTTTGAAAATGAGATGGTATATTTCTGTATATTTGTGAGGGTCAGGCGGTAAACAATCCGCGCTCACACTGCACACTGTTTTGTTTTTGCGTGGGTAAATTTAATTAAAAACATTTAAATTGGACAAGAATTAGTGCAAAAACAATGAACCGCTACGCGGTCAGCTCTCTGGTGGGCCAAGGCTCCTTTGGCTGCGTGTACAAGGCGCAGCGTCGCGACGACGACAAAGTGGTTGCCATCAAAGTAATTTCCAAGGTAAGTGGCATGCAACAAGTAACCCCCCCACCCCTCACTCTTTAATGCCTTTACAGCGCGGCCGATCGAATCGAGAGCTAAAGAATCTGCGCAGGGAGTGCGACATTCAGGCACGCCTCAAGAATCCCCACGTCATCGAGATGATCGAGTCCTTCGAGTCGAAGTTTGATCTGTTTGTGGTCACGGAATTCGCCCTGATGGATCTGCACCGTTACTTGTCCTTCAACGGGGCCATGCCCGAGGAGCATGCGCGACGTGTGATTGGCCACTTGGTCTCGGCGCTGTACTATCTGCACTCGAATCGCATCCTGCACCGCGACCTGAAGCCACAGAATGTCCTGCTGGACAAGAACATGCACGCCAAGCTCTGTGACTTCGGGCTCGCGCGCAACATGACGCTGGGCACCCACGTGCTGACATCGATCAAGGGCACACCGCTGTACATGGCGCCCGAGCTGCTGGCGGAGCAGCCGTACGACCATCAGGCGGACATGTGGTCCCTCGGCTGCATCGCGTACGAGAGCATGGCGGGGCAGCCGCCCTTCTGCGCCACCTCCATCCTGCATCTGGTGAAGCTGATCAAGCACGAGGACGTCAAGTGGCCGAGCACGCTGAGCAGCGAGTGCCGCTCCTTTCTGCAGGGACTGCTCGAGAAGGACCCGGGCATGCGCATCTCCTGGACCCAGCTGCTCTGCCATCCCTTTGTCGAGGGCAAACTCTACATTGCCGAGGTGCAGCCGGAGGCGGCACAGGCCTCGCCCTTCATCAATCCCAAAGCGGCCAAGGGGCGTGTCCAGAAGTCCAGCCAGCGAACGGCCGACTTGAACGATGTGCTGGCGGCCCTGCAGCTGGGGGAGGCGGGCATCAATGAGAATCTGAGCACCTCGCGGGACAGCATAAATGCCATTGCGCCCAGCGACATTGAGCAGCTGGAAACGGATGCCGAGGACAATGGTCACCGCGTGCTTGTGCCCTTTGCCGACATCTCCTTCCGGGACATGCCGCCCGACGAGTCAGCCTCGCTTGACGCTGGGCCGCTGGTCAACTCGCAGACCTGCTACGTCAGCGGCAACTCCAATATGATACTCAACCATCAGAACGATAACTTCCCCGCCGAGGTGCAGGCCGGGGGCGCCAAGGGTGTCGCTGCCAAGCTAAAGGCAGCGCTGAACCTGCGCCAATTGTCGCGCAGCAAGGATCTGGAGAAGCGCAAACTCAGCCAGAATTTGGATAACTTCTCGCTGCGTCTCGGCCAGAGCATTGACACGGAGGCGCAACGCAAGACAACGGAAATGCTGACCGCGCAGGAGCGCAAGTGCCGCGACAAGGAGGCGCAGGCACAGGCACAGGCACAGCTGAAGCAATCGCTGCACTCAACCAACGAGGAGAAGCTAAGCAGCGAGTGAGTGTACAGCATCCCAGATAGACTCCGTTTCTAATTCGTTTTCTGTTTGCCAGCAATACGCCGCCCTGCCTGCTGCCCGGCTGGGACAGCTGCGACGAGTCGCAGAGTCCGCCCATCGAGAACGACGAGTGGCTGGCATTCCTGCATCGTTCCATACAGGAGCTAATGGACGGCGAGTTCGACTCGCTGAAGCAGCACAATCTCGTCAGCATCATTGTGGCGCCGCTGCGCAACTCCAAGGCCATACCCAAGGTGCTGCAGAGTGTCGCGCAGCTGCTCTCGCTGCCCTTTGTACTCGCCGAGCCGCTGATGCTCGTCGATCTCGACCTGATACGCAATGTCTATGTGGACGTGAAGCTCGTGCCGAATCTCATGTATGCCTGCAAGCTGCTGCTCTCCCATCGCCAGCTCAGCGATTCGGCAGCCTCGGCACCGCTCACCCTGGGCTCGCTCAGCCGCACAATGCGCAGCATACCGGAGCTCAGTGTCGAGGAGATGGGCACCGCGTGCAGCCTGTACGAGTTGGTCTGCCACCTGGTCCACCAGCAGCAGCAGTTCCTCAGCCAGTTTTGCGATGCGATTGCCATCCTCGCCGTCAACGATCTCTTTCTCAATTTCCTCACCCACGGTACGGCATGCAGCCCACATCCTGCAACCTGCAACCCACATCCAATCTCTCCCTCTCTCTCGCTCTTTGCAGAATTCAAGCACGCGGACTCGGACTCCAGCTCGGTGCGTCTCGCTGGCTGCATGCTGGCGCTGATGAGCTGCGTGCTGCGCGAACTGCCCGAGAACGCGGAGCTGGTGGAGCGCATCGTATTCAGTCCACGTCTGCGCTTCGCCGCCCTACTCCAGAGCCGCCATCAGCTGCTGCGGCAACGCGCCTGCCAACTGCTGCGTCTGCTCGCCCGCTTCAGCCTGCGCGGTGTGCACTGCATGTGGGGCGCCGAACTGCGCAGCGCCCTGCAGTCACTCGCCGAGCAGCAGCACTGCCCGGCCGTACGCCTGGAGGCGGCCCAGACCCTCGACGAGCTGAGCCAATTCAGTTTCTTTGTGGCCTAGCAGCCCACCGCTTTATTCGCATCAATCGGTGGCAGCGACAGCGACAGCGCCGCTAGCCGAACAGATCCTGCAGATTGCCCTGCAGGTAGTCGAGCAGTTCGTCGATGTAGCCCCCGAAGCGGTCGAAATTGAGCAGCGAGTCCTCGTTGCAGTCCTGCTCGTACATTTCGTTAAGCTTCGAGATGTCCTTGTCGGAGAGGCCGCGTCGCTGGCCCAGCGAGGCGTACGGATCCTGCAGGGGGATAGAATAAGTATTAGTCATAAGGAAGTGCATGCATCGAGTGAAAGTAGCGAGTGAGTTACTCGCCGCTTTCCACAGATTGAATGCCTGACTCTTTGTTAGTTTGTAGCTTTGGGTTTAAGCATAAATTACATACGAATTGAAGCCCACTCACCAACGGCTCAATGGTTGCCTTGCCATTCTTGCTGAACGCCCTGGAGCTGTAATGCATGACGCTCTGATAGTCGTACTCCACGCCAAAGTTCGTTATGTGCGTGCGCGCATACTTGTTGAAGTTGTGCGCGTGTCCATCGAGTATGTTGTCCCAGTTGATCTTCACGTACTCGTCGCGCTCCGTGGCGCTCTGCTGATGATAGAAGCCCAGGGCATGCAGCAGCTCGTGCACCACAACGCCATGCGTCACGCACTTGGGCGTGTTCAGGTTGAGCACCTGGCCGCCCTGCCGCCGGCCCACGCTCGACCAGCAGCCCGAGTAGTTGCCCTTGATCATCAGCCAGTGCTTGTCGCCCTGCACATACGGCCGGAAGCGTATGCAGGTCCGCTCGTGGTACTCCTTGAAGCCACGCAATATGGTCATTGTCTCGTTGGCAGCTGCAACGAGTAGCGGGCAATGGAAATGAATCAACGAGTGGCCGGAGTTTGGCCAGCGAACACTCACTGAAATCCTGCGGATCAATGTAAAAGGGTATCGATGCCTCCGGCCAGGTCGATCTCTCGTTCAGCAATCCATTGCGCAGCAGCTCGCGATGCAGCATAATGTCACCCTCGAAGAGTCCGCAATGCTCCCAAATGTTTGTGTCGCTCTCCTCCGTCCAGAAATTGAAGGCCGCACCTGCACGAAGAGCGGGAGCGAGAGAGAGAGAGAGCGGGGAAGTTAGTGGAGAATCTTTAGCTGCTAGTCAGAAATATATCCCTCGGGACCTACTATTGTGACGTCGCAGCATTTGCATATTGGCGCCCCAGCGCGGCGCGGGTGGCACTGCCACATCGTTGTTGCTGTTCGCTTTTCTTACCGCAACGTCGCTGCGCTGAGTGCTGACCAGCGCCAGGGTCAGCGCCATGACTGTCAGCAGCTGGCAGCTGTCTGTGATAAGCGCACTTCTCCTTCTCGGCATTGTCTGGCCAAAAGAAACGCCGGCTGGGCCGTGTCGCCGCTTTTATATGTCGCCACTGGGGGGGGAGCCCACAAAAAAGTTTCAACTGAAAGTGGGAGTACTTACGCTTCGGGGCTTGAGCGTGGGCCTGGCATTTATGCATAACGGATTTATTGTCACCGTCTCGTTTTTTGTTTTTCGTTTTTCGTTTTGCTCTCTCTTTCGGCGCGTATTCAAATTGGGCGCACATTTACGGCTTTGGATTTAACAATTTAACTGGGATACTGGGTTATCAGTGGCAACAATGTGCGCATATGAAAATAGCACACACACAGAGAGAGAGAGAGAGAGACAGCCAGCTGCCTCATGCCACAGATCGATGGACAGACTGAAGGGCTGTGCTGTCTCCAAAGTGGGTCGACGGAGGAACCTGCAGCCCGGCACCCACGCCAGATTCGAGCTGCAAATTCTGCCGCCACTTTTGGCGTTTCTCTCTGCTGCTGCAATTGCAACTCCAGTTAACAATTTCCAACTGCCTGCCGCCTGCACTTTCACTCTGCCAAATTGCAGCAAAGTCTAAGACCATTTTTCGAGAACATTTTGGTCATGGCAACTGGAAATGCCCGCAGCGGATGCAGCAGCAGCAGCATACATATCTGAGATGTACTTGATCTTTGTCGAAAAAAAAACTTGACACACTTTTGCAGCAGCAGCGGAAAATTCGAGGGAAATCAACAAGCAGCCGCAGCAAGCGTTGCAATTTTCAATTGAGAAAGTTAAGCGGCAGAGATTGCAAATTTGAGACAAGCGATGCCAAAAGACGATGCCTCCATGGAGCGAGGCCGCGCCGCTTCCTCGAGGCGGTAATTGACTTCCTGCACAGGCGCTGAGAACATTTTGCAGTCATTAGACGGTTGGCTGCATAGATCGGCAGGGGGGGAACGTGCGACTGGCGGCAGTCACTTTCTGCGCCAATGACCCAGAAAAACAAAGAGTGGATGAGGAGGAGGAGGCGCCGTCGATTTTTTGGCAAAAAAAAAAAAATCATTCAAGAGCTGCCGATTTCTCCACTTCCTTTTGGGCGTACATCTGTCAACTGTCATCAGCTGTGAGCTGTGAGCTGCGAGCTTCCATGCAGAATTCCAGATGCAATCAGCAGAGAGAGAGGCAGCAAAAGGGAGAGGCACTGATGAATGACTGACTGGCGGACTGCTTGCTTGACCAACTGCTTGACTGGCGGACTGCTTGCTTGCTCCGTGTTAATAGACCAGAAATGCAGGTGGGCAGCCGTTTGCCACGGTTACGGCACCCAAAATGCAAAGTTCCAGCGGCAGCCCAAAGGCACACAGCAGCAAGAAAAAATGAAATTAACAGCGCAACACACGAGACACAGCGAGCAACAGTTGCAAGCAGCAAAAGCAAACCCAAACCCAAACCCAAACCCAAATCCAAGTCAAAGACTGAAAACGGCAAACCAGTTGCGGCAGTTTCCTTCCGGAATCAATTATTTTTCACTTTGCGCACTTTTCACGTTCATGGTCACAAAATGTATGCAGCAACAACAACATGCAACAGTCAGTGTGTCAGTGGTGGCAGTGGCAACAACTGACTGCCTTGTTTGCTCTGTCTCTGTGTGTGTGTGTGTTTGCTGCTTGTGCGTTGTGTTTTTTTTTGGCGTTTTGTTTGCTGCTGGTTTGCACTGCTTGCACGCTGCAATTTGTGCACATTTTTCGCTGCACTTTTGATGCTGTTGTTGCCTTGGTTTTTGCGTGTGCTTTTCCGAGTGCGTTTCCCCCTTTTGCTGCTGCTTCCCCTTTTGTTTGCCATTTACTGCTTGCCGCCCCGCCGGCTGCTGCTGCTTGGTCCACTGGCCGACCGGTAGACTCACTGACGAACTGGTAGACTTTTTCCAAGAAATTTCTATCGTCAATTGTGCATTAGTTTAATTGGTGAAATTGGAGTTTGGAGTTTGGAGTTTGATGTTTTGTGCGTTTTGGCTCGGATTTGGCTTTGGCTTTGGATTTGGTTTTGGATTTTGTGTAAGTGCGGCGAAAGTGCATGCGCATGCCCATAAATGGATGAGCTTGCTGACTGATTAATTAGCCATTAAGTGCCACATGGTCAAGGCGGCTGAGCAAAAACCGATATGGGACAAGCAGTGCTGCCCTCAGCAAGCAGTGCTGCTTGGGTTCTGCTTTTGCTGTTTAGTTTTTCGCCCCACAAGTGGCACACAGCGATTGGGTGCAACGAAAGACTTAGGCAACGAACTTGCTGGAAAAAACGTTGCAACAATTTGTTGCAAGCAGAGCGAAAGTTGCCACATTGATTGATTGCCAACTTTCTACGCTCACACAGAGATTATAATATCTGCAATTTGCAAAATAATTCTGAAGCGGTGCCACGGAGGCAGAGCGAAAGCAGAACATTTCACTTGTGGCATAGACATGCTGCCGCTGCCGCTGCTGTTGCTGCCACTCGTCAGACGGTTTTCGCTTGCCACAAAATGTTAATGAATCTCTGGCAGTGGCTGTGGCCAGGAGCAACGGGCAGCCACATCCGCCTTGCAGCCAGCCAGTCGACTGCTTGCTTGCCTGCCTTTTGCATACGCCAATCATTTCTTTCTTTATTTTAGCTTTTTTTTGTTGCTGTTGCTGCTGTGCCAAATCCACACAAAAATGTGGCACACATCTCTCTCTACTCCGGGGCACTTGGCATTGAAACAGCGTGGCTGCTGCTGCTGCTGCTGCAACAAACAAACAAACATTCAACTTACCTAACCAGCCTATGTCCTATGGGCATTGTTAAAGCTCAGAGGCAGGAGGCAGAGCCTGAACCTGAGCCCCTGCTCCTACCGATGTCTGCCTTCTATGCATTTTTGGGGTGCCGCGTGCTATGCAAACAGCTGATTGCTCTCTTCCAGTCATTCTCTTTTGGCGTCGGCGTCCGCCGCTCTTAGCTTCGACAACGCGACGCGCTCTTGAGCGTGAAGAGAGCGCGCCCAAACGCTTCAAACACGAAGCACTTCAAACGCAAACATCAAACCCGAAGTCAGCCGAGGCAATGATAACAATCGCACTCAACAAGTATGGCAAACACACTCAAACGCAACGACTGGCGGTGGGTCGGGACTGTGGGGCTGCGGGCTGCATGGGAAAAATGTTTACCATGGAAATGTGGAAATGCTGTCACGAATCACAGACCACAGACCCAAAATAGTGCATTGCATTTTATGTCCTGCATTTAAGGAAAGTTCCCAAAAAAAGAGCAGCTAAAAATATTTCAAATCTACGACGTGCCTTTGAGTTGATGCTGGTTCGACAAACTTCAGCTGCAACAGAGCGGCAATCGGCAGCAGATCGGTGCAGCCAGCAGCCAGCAGCCAGCAGCCACCGTTGCTGCCACCAGTGTGGCTGCCGTCTGATAACAAGCCGAATGCCAAATGTATGCCAAATCAAGTGCATTGAACTCGAGCGGGGCCACGACTGCTGCTGGCAGCGGCAGTGGCAGTGGCAGCGCAGTCAGCGGCAACTGCTGCAGTGACTGCGGCAGCGGCAGCGACAGCGACAGCAGCAATCAGGATACACTTTGTGGGCAGTGCATCCTGCAGCTTTTCAAGCTGTTGTGGATGCGGCTGCTGCCACTGCCGCAGTAAGCGTTGACGCAGGCTGTGACAGCAGCAGCAACACTTGCCAGCCAGCCAGCCAGCCAGCCAGCCAAGTGCCTGCCGCTGATGGTTGCTGCTGTTGCGGCTGTGTGGCTGCTGCTGGTTGCGAGTTCAATGACATTTCACCTACTTGTATTCAAATTCGAATAAAAATTGACATAAACATGCTGCCGCTTGGGCTGTGGCTGTGGCTGTTGCATTTTGGCTGTAGTCGTACACTAGAGGATCTGTAACGAACAGTTCATCATCACTTTTACTTTCAGGATACACTTGGCTGCTGCCCACAGCGCAAAGATCTCTGCGGACTGAACGAAGGGCAAACATTCAGCAGCAAAGCAAAGCCATGGCCAACACACAGCACGGAGCAAACTTTCTAAAGTGAGGAAAAATAAATAGGAAACATTAAAAAACATTAAACAAGAACGTAGCGTAGAGAGAGAGAGAGAGAGAGCTTTTGGTGGGGTAGGGGAGGGGCAGTATCTGCAGCGGTAGGAGAGGGGAGCACAGGGAACTTTTGTACGGCCTATCTGTAAATGTTGGGAGTTGCTGCTACGATTCTTATTAGTTGAATTTTTTGTATAGGCCTATCGCGCGCTTGATCGTGTCTGGGCCGTTGGCTTTCTTCCGCTCGAAAGGGCCTGGCAGAGAAAAAGCGTGCCACTCGTGTGCCTTCTCCTCCTCTCTTTATGCATTTGCGCAATCAGTGTGGAGTGGGCGTGGCGACTTGCTTGCCAATTTGCACTGAAAATGGCGGAAAATAGTTGTTCCGCTGCTGCCTGGGAGGCTGGTCTATGTTTGATTTGATTTAATTGAATCGCCAAATGAATTGAAATGTTTTTTCTTGTTGTTGTTGCTTTTTGCTTTGTTTGATTTGTGTCGGCGCTTCAGTTTGTATTTGGTCAACACAAAAAGCGAGGGAGAAACAAACAAACAGACACACAGCCAGGCAGGCGGGCAGGCAGAGAGACACCGAACTGCCCCTGGTTGGAGGCGCGAAATTTCTCTTCCTTGCGGCGACACTCTCTGTGTGTGTGTGTGTGTGTGTGTGTGTGTGTGTGTGAGTACGGTCAGAGCGAAAGCAACGTCATGACCTACCTTCAGGCAGGCCTTCAAAATCGATCGGTCATTTCATTTTGCTTAATAAAATGTGAAAAAAATGAAATTAATTTTGGTTCTGCTGCAGCTGCTGCTGCTGCTGCTAGCCTCTACCACATGCTAGACCTGGCCACCCTTCGGCTGGGAGTGGAATAAAACGGAATGGATTGGAATGGAACGGAACGCGAACGCGAACGCATCGAAAGTCAAGTCTGCACATTCATATTTAACAACTTTCGGAGATGCTTTCACTTCCATGCCAACAATTTGGCAGCTGCTGCTGCTGCTGCTGCTGCTCCCCGTGCTTGTTGTTGTTGCTGTTGCTTCCGTATGAGAGAGGCTCAGAGCTGCATCCGCCTCGGACATCGCGCAACACTTTTGATGGTCCAGCTAACAAGCTGGCCGACTGGCTGAGCTGCAACGAAAGTGTTGACACGCGGAGATGCATGCGCAGCCATCGAACCATTCATCGAACCTTGCACATGTTCTGTAGATATTGCTGTGTTCGTGTGTGTGTGGTAATAGAAGCAGAGGGCAGGTCCAAAGGCAAGCAGAGAAAGAGGAATAGCGGAACAGCGGCAGAGGACATAGGCAGAGGAAGAGCACAGTGGCAGAGGAAGAGCACAGAGCCAGAGGCAGAGGAAGAGGAAGAGCTCAATTGCAGAGGAGCCTGAGGCGAAGGCAAAGTCCCAGAGCCCAAGGCAAAGCTAAGAGCCCACAGCCCACCGTCCACACAGTAAAAAAGCAAAAGCAAAAGCAACAGCATGTGTGTGTGTGTGTGGATCATTAGCATAAATAATGGTGAAAAATGAACACAAACTTCAGGCAGCAGCAAGCAGCAACAGGCACTTGTGTGTGGTGTGGTGTGTGCCCCTCTGTTTGGCTCTGTGTCTCTGTGGCTACGTTGAGTGCCAGTCTCTCTCTCTCTCTCTGCATGTGTGTGTGTGTGTGTTTGTGTGTTTACAACACACATTTCAAAAGTCGGTGACTGTGGCACTGAGTTAGTAGTGCGTTAAGTCAACGAACGCAGTCGCGCAGACGCCAACAGCGGCCACGACAGAAAGCAGCAGGCAGCAGGCAGCGACTGCGCCAGCGACAGCGACAGCAAGAAAAAGCTTTACGACGCAGACGGTGGGCAGTGGGCAGTGGGCAGGGGACAGTGGGCATTGGCTATTGGGCGACTGGCATTGCAATGTAAAACGCACTTACCAACTGGCCGTTTTCGGCATGGAGTGCTGCTGCTGCTGCTGCTGCTGCTGCTGCTGGGGTTTTGTTTTGCTTTGCTTCGTGCGGCTTTCACAAACGTTGCACGTTGCCTCATGGCGCCGCTGTCGACGCATGCGTCGCAGCTGCGATTGCTTTTGTTGTTGTTGTTTTTTTTTAGCAAACTTTTGGAGTTTATTGAACTTTTCGTCAGTGGTTCTCGGAGGGGGTCGCTCTCCATCGTCATTATTATCACTCATTATCATTATCGCTCGCTCTACGCACGAGACTTTCTCCGAGCCAAGACACTCTGGGGGCAGACACAAAGCGGGGCACACACATAATCCCTGCTGATAAATGTACGCTGCAGTTTTTATTGGGTGGCGCCTGGAATTCCGTGCTATCAGCTGCTTATCAGCGAGGAAAGAAAACTCGGTCAAAATGTGCACGGCAAATATTTGAGAAGAGCCAAAAATGGGAGCGGCATAACGGGGCAGCGGACGATGTGTAATTAAAGCTTGAGTGGGGTGGTGGCTGGAGGGGGGGGGGGGGTTTGCTGCATATTACACAACGTGACACAAGCGGGAGTGGCCAGTGGGGTGGGGGGGGGGGGGGGGGGGGAAACTGCTGCGTGCCTCCCCGTGACCATTTTTGGCGGTCAGCTTTGCAGGGCTGCTAATGAGGATCAGGTTTGAACAGACCCACAAACCTCATGATTATGTGACTAACTGACTGACGGAATGGACAAACGGACAGACACAACGGACAGACACAACGGACAGACACAAATTCAAGTGTCGTTACAGACAAGAGAAAAAACAGAAGAAAAAAAAGGCACACCACACGGGAAAAAATTTCACCGCGTTAATGATCGCCGCTGCACGTTCAAGGGCCTTACGTAAAGACCAAAAAGCAAAAAGCAAAACCCAATCCCGATTCGATACGATTCGTTTTGTAGCCAACAAAATAATGAAGGCTTAGCCCTTTGTGCACAATGCGCATATGAATTTAAGTTTGAAACTTTGATTGTCCCAGCAGCAGCCTCAACTTCAGTTTTTAGCTGACAGTTCCCCATTGGGGTTTGACAGACGATTTAAAATTCAGTATTTTCCATGTTTTGCATAATACAAATGCCTACCTACACCGCTCCATCTCCATCTCCAGCTCCATCTCTATCTGCCTGAAAATCAATTTGAGAAATTAATGTAACTGGTGCTCGTCGCTGGTCGCCGTCGTTGAGGGTATATTCGGCAGCGAGTGCGCGTTGAGCGACCTCTGCTACTCGCTGGAGTCACTCGTTGCCCACAGGGTAGCGGTTCAGTCGTTCAGTCTCCGTCTCACTGGCGGATTGTGACATGCTTTTAGGGTCGCACTTCCCCCTTCCCACACGGCTCTGCTCTTTAGGCAATATTTCTACTTTGCATAAGTAGAAATTTAATATAGTTTTTTTTTTCCTTTTTTCAATTTTGGGTTTTGAAGTTTTTGTTTTTTTTTTTAGTTTGGCTTGGTTTGGTTTTTGGCTTTTTGTGTTTTATTTGCATTTCGTTGCCATTGCGGTCATTAATTTTATTTATTTTCGTTTTGTTTCTTTTTGTTAAGTTTTAAACAAATCAAAACTGGTTGGTCGCCCCCTTCGGGGCGAGTGTTTGCTGTTGTTTGTCGCTGCCTCTGGGACTGGGACTGGGTCTTGGGTCTGGGCCATGCTCTGGGCCGCTGTCAACATTCATAATTTGTCATCGAATGCGTTTGTAATTTGAAGTGATTAAGCATTTTCTTTCTTTGTTTGTTTGACTTGGTTTGGTTTGGTTTGGTTTGGTTTTCGGCCGACTTAACTTTAGTTTCTGTGCCTGTGTGTGTGTGTGTGTGTGTGTGTGTGTGTGTGTGGGGCTTTGCACTTTCTCCAATTAAAATTAAATTAAATAATCGCCTCGGATTTTTGGAGTGTGTAACTTTGAAAGGGTATGCCGGGCACTAGACATGTGCGAGAAAAAAACGAAAACGACTTTGCCTTGGCTCTTGGACATTCCATAACTTGGTGCTAACTTTGTTCAAGCTTTGGAAATGAAATATTTTTGAGTGCCCAGCACCTGACCCACATCCGCATCGAATCTGCTGGCACTCGGGCTTCTCCTGAGGGCTAAAGGACAGAAGCCATTTGAGTCCTAGTGCTTGTTGCTGCGCAGTCAGTGCCACATTCAGAGTCAGCATCCAGCATCCAGCATCGAGCACCGATGCGGGTTGAACAAACTTTGCAAAGAGTGTGGATACAAATTAAGCGCTTGAATTATCGTTTTGAAGGCCATTTCGGTATGAAAATGATCGCCGAACGAGGCTAGGCATGCGCAATAGCGGAGCTGCTTGCTGGCTGCGCTGTGAGCGAACGCCAACGCGTGAGAAGTTGTTGGTGTGGAGAGCGATTCGATACGTTGCTGGGATGCGAGAAGAAGGAGGAGAAGAAGGAGGTGCTGTGCTGTGCTGTGCTGTGCTGTGCTGCGAGGTGACGCTCAAAGTGCACAAAAGTTCAATAAACTAAAAAAGTGTCTTTTAAAACAGGTAAACACACACAGAGGCACACACCAGAGACACATACAGACATGCAGCAGATAGACAGATGTATTTATGTAGGTATGTATGTACCCGGTATGTATGCTTAACATGTGTACATTGCTGCTGCTGCTGCTGCTGCTGCTGCTGCTGCAAAGGCAAAATGCAGTTCTTGTCAAGCAAGCTGCCGGGGGAGCAGCTCCACGCCACGCCACGCCACAGCAGCCACAGCAGCCACAGACAGCCTCGAGTTGGCCAAGCGCACAGCCCATGAGCATAAGAATAATTTGTGTACACAAATATCATAATCATAATCATAATCATAATCATAATCCCAAGCCAAATCGAAGCTCTTTCTGGTTTCTGGGCTGCCTGTGCCGGGGGTATCCCCCAGTCGAGCAGTGGCCAATTCTGGCCAGCAAGAGTCAATGACTCCTAGTCCACCCGCATTGCGGCGACGACCGTGCAGCTGTGTGTGCATTTTGAAAGTACTGAAAGACAGAGACTGCAGCGGGGACTGCGAC